GCGCTTTCAGCGGTGAGTGAATTCTGACAAAACGTTTCTGATTGGCCATTGCGTTCAAGGAATCAACAGATATGTCTGTGATTGGTTACATTGCTCAAGGCTGCAAAAACACTTTGAGGGTATTTAGCGCTTGGCTAAGCGCTCCAATTGCAGCGGGCCGACATCAGGGAGGGATTCCATGACTAACAATTTTGCCCCCCCTAATGTCGCCCAAGTATATATATATATTGGTTGAAAAACACTGGTTTACACCTAGTATTAAGACGCGTTTTGGTCGATCCGATCACAAGTGGACGACGCTAAATACAGGTGTATTCCAGATGTAGGTGAAAGCTCGTTTAACCAGATTGCTTTTGCAGTGTAGAGGCTCATGTGGTCTAATACATTTGAACAGCATCTAAAGCCTCCTCTCTGCCTGGTCGCCGTGATTTTGCCAAGTAAGACATGTTCCTGGATCAACATTACTGTCCTAAAAAACAGACTTAACCCAATACCTACCCCTAAACCTAACCTTACCCATAATTTATTCCTAAAAACAGTGTGAAATGATAGCTGATTAACAAGGGTGTAGAAGCACCTAACCCTGATTGTAAGCCTAAAACTGACATTTCCTGAAAAGATATCTCTCAATTCTGATTGGTTGATTGGAATGATGTTCCAGGATCAATGGGGACATGGGGTAATGTCCTCATAAGTCACCTTCTCCTTGTAATACCTATGTCATGGTCGCTGTGATTTTGCCAAGTAAGACATGTTCCTGGATCAACATTACTGTCCTAAAAAACAGACTTAACCCAATACCTACCCCTAAACCTAACCTTACCCATAATTTATTCCTAAAAACAGTGTGAAATGATAGCTGATTAACAAGGGTGTAGAAGCACCTAACCCTGATTGTAAGCCTAAAACTGACATTTCCTAAAAAAAATAGGACAAAAAAACAAGTCTCCCTCGTCTACTTGTGATCCGATCGACCAAAACGCATCTTAATACCAGATGTAAACAGACCCGGAGGGTTAGATTTAGGAGAAGCTATGAACACATCATGATGTGTTATTTTGAGTCAGACTCAGATTTCTAATGAATTGATTGAGGGGGAAAAAAACAACACACACAAATGAGTAATATAACGCAGTAATTATACACATAATTTTCTGTTGAAATCTCACAGTCTATTAAATTTCTTAATAGCGGCTGACTCTGATAAGCTGCAGTGTCTGAATCTTCCCATCATCTCTGATCGTGACTGTAATAATTCCTACCCTGGCCTAATCACTGGCTCCATGTTCTGTGCTGGATACCTGGAGGGAGGGAAGGGTGTTTGCCAGGTAGCCTGTCATAGACAGACGCTGCATTGCTTTGGTCTCCAAACATAGTCATTTCTGGTTCAAAAAAAAAAAAAGTATCTTAATTTTCGTCCCACTCAGGGTGACTCTGGTGGTCCTTTGGTGTGTAATGGTGAGCTACAAGGTATTGTGTCTGCGGGTGGCCGTTGTGCTGCGAAAGATCAGCCTGGTATCTTTACCAAGGTATGATGACAAGCGTATGTCATCATAAAAATGGATATTAAAATAATAACTTTAATGTTTATACTTGATATCTGAAATAAAACACTGTGTATAATCTCTCTCTTTCTCTATAGGTCTGCTTGTTCAACTCCTGGATTACTGAGACTATAAACACATACCAAAACTGATTGCAGCTTCATACCGCAAATAATGCTACACAATTTAATATACATACATAGTGTGAAACCTGTCGACAATTTATATGGTGTTAATGTGCAAAAAAATATCTTTTGAAGAATTATGTTCGTGAGTCTTCCTTTCTCTGAAGAATACTTGAAACCTACTGAATACACTTAATCTTGTTTACTGAATCACTACTGCGACCAAATAAACAATAGATGCAGTTTTTAGTGCCAGCAGAGATGGAATAAACATTGAAAGCACCAGGATTTGATGAATGCCAAGTTAAAACCCAAAAGTATATGAAAATGAACTCTTTAACAGGTGTGCATATATAAATGATTAGAAAGATTAAATATTGACAATGTTTCATTTAAAGTAAGACCAGATATTTACATGTTTTGAAGTGCGGAAACATCACAACCTGGATGTCCAGAACAACAACTACATACTGAGGGTGATCGCCACGTTAACATTTTTACAGATGGAGCCACAGGATTGTGTGTTTACATGTAACAGAGTAAAATGAAAGGAACTCACCTATGACAACAATGATCAAAGCACCATTCAGCAGAGCAGTGATAAGAATCCACCACGGAGTCTGATTCTGTTGAATATACATCACTACTGTATGATTCCGGCTCTCGTGTGCTGATTCTGTAAAGAACAGTTACTCCACTGAAACTGAGTACACGACACAGTTAGTTACAGTACATTACATGCCGTTGCAATCAAAATTATTCAACCCCCTTGATCTGCAAGACCAAGGCATCATTAAAGTATTATAGAAAGTTTATTATTACACATTTGAATGATTCTGATGGCATAAAGTTGATGAAAAATGAAAATAAATAAATAAATCAAACTGCCTCTAAATGTTCATGTACAAAATTATTCAACCTCCCAACGTCAAATTTTGTGCATAATCTTTGTAACCTCCAGTAAATGCTGTTTGTAAGTGTTTAGAAGCTTCTGCCACCTCTCTACTGCAATCTTGGCCCATTCCTCGCTTGAAATAGCTTCCAGATCACTGATAACGTCTCAGGTTACGTATGTAACCAGTGCTGGACAAAGTTGTATGAAGCACTTGAAAGCACTCAAAAGCATTTGACTGTTTCTGCCATAATACCATTGTTGCAGTTATTTAATGTAATGGCTACTACAAATACGTGGTGAATGATATGTGGACTAAAGGCGTTCTTATAACTTTATATCACAATATCCATCCTGGTTTTCACGTCAGCACTCTGTTATCTGACATCTATTGATTAATAACAGAATTCTGTACCGAATCTGAATGATTCTTACTAACTTAGATCTCGCAGCGAGGTTGATAATTCTGCTGTGTATTCCCTCTTCACCGGATCTCTCAACGCTCGCGCTGCGCTATCTAACGTTAAACGTTAATAAAATTGTTTCTGTGTAGCTTTTATGGGAGGTCTTTTGACTTAAATTTAGGTATTATAGCTAGTGCTTCTCAATGACATGCGTAATGTATAGAGAAAAAAAACACATAAAATACTATAATGAAGAAGCACTTACCAGTAATGTATAGTCTTGTACTGCTGCTGAATTTTGGAGGTGTTTCTGTTTTCATACAGTAATAAACTCCTAACACATCATTAGTGATATTGGTTATAAACAGACAATGTTTAGACTGCACTGAATATTTTTCTTTGAATCTCTTGTCGAAGTAAAACGGTGTCGGTGAGAAGGAGCGCAGGACTGTTACTGGAGAATCTGGCGGGAGATGATAGAGATGTGATGATAATTTGGTGGATGATTTAATAAATAATCATTAATCACCTGTATGTGGCGCAGTCATCCTAATGTAAAATTAATGATCTCCTGACGGCGCTCTACGACCACCGTCATCTGAGCGCTAAATGCTACTCGGGAGAGTTTCAAGACACTAAAAATAATATATACATACAATTTATGTGTAATATGTGTTTATTTTTGTTGCCAGCATTTTAATAATATTTAATTATTATGAACATATTAAGTATTACAAAACAATTTAGGCCTAATAATACCATCTTTGAAACCACAAAGCTGGCGTGGAGGTATGTACAATATTAAGTCATTGTGAGTGTTATTGTTATTAATTTTATTTTCTAAAATAATATAAATGTACATATATGACGAAGATGTTTCTGCGACAGCTCCAGCTCTCTGACGCGCAGTGTATACGTCAGTGTCCGAATTCGTTCACTTCATTTCGTTCACGCCTTTCTGATATAGTGCACTCAGTACACTGTATAGGGATTAGTGAATGAGTGAGCGAGTGAGCGAGTGAATGAGTGAGTGATTTCGGACACAGCTCCTGTTTGCCTTACTGCCTTGTTTGTTACCATAGCAACCCTCATTAGTTACCATGCCAACTAATCACCCACACCTGTCCCTTGTCAGTCCCTGGTTAGCTTGTGTGTATATACCCCTGTGTTCCAGTTATGTTTTGTTGGTCATTCTCTCTGTATGTGTTTTCCAAGTTGTTGCTCCTGGCTTCTGTCTGTAGATTGTACTTTTGTTTTCAAGTCTGGATTACTTATGTTAGTGGTAGTGGTGGCGAGATGAAGCTTCATGAAGCTTTCCAGACAGATGTGTTAAAAAGTGTTTCATTTCTGAGGCTTTGAATGCACGCTAGGGACACCTGCTGGTCGATCCAAATAAGGTGCAGGAAAAAATTGTCAGGAGTGTGGCAGCCCAAAATGTGCGCTTCATGGCTTGATACATTAACATACACCAGGGGTCTCCAAACTCTGTCCTGGAGGTCCAGTGTCCTGCAGAGTTTGAAAAAACACTAAACGAAACTGTTTGTTCATAAAGTATGGAAAGCTTATCTACATTACTGCTATTTCAGTTGCTTTTCAGTATTTGATTATCATAGAAATAAAAGTTTTTATCATACAACTTTACTATCATAATTAGGGGTGTATGATATTGATAAAGTTATATCTCTATTTTCTGGGATTTTGTTGATAAGAATAATTAGACAAAATTTTGCCGAGTGTGTTTTTGTTCTGGTAGCTTGGCTGGTTTAGACCTGTCTTATATTCTTCATATTTTGTGTGATGGTTGGTTCACAGTGGTGACAGAAATTAACTTTTCCATTTAAAGGTGAGAATCCATCAGTCAGTGAATGCGTGGACTCTCAAGGAATGTTTTTGTTCGATTTTTCCAAACTGAGTGACATACTCGACAGTGTCAGCTCACGTATTGTTAAAACAGTAATTACAATATTATCATAGATGGTACATTTACTTTTATTCATGTAATAAGTGCTTTTATCCAGAATGACTTACAAATGAGGAATACAAGCGAGTGCTGCTGATCTGTACACAAGCATCAGTGTCTCGAAACGTAATACGGACAGCAACCGATAGCCAGAAGACAGACAAAGAGAGGGGTGACGTGGGCTCTCTTGGGCTCATTAAAGACCAGTTGTACTGCTGCGTTCTGCATCTTTTGAAGAGATTTGATTGCACGTGCTGGAAGTCCAGCCAGAAGAGCATTGCAGTCTAGAGAAGACAAGAGCCTGGATGAGGCGTTGTGCTTCATGTTAAGAAGAGGCTGATCTTCCTGATGTTGTTGGATGGTGAAGTTGTGCTGTACTGTTGAAGTGACTGGAAAGACGAGAAGCTCTGTCTTCATTGAGTTGTAGATGATGGTTTTTCATCCATGCTGAAATGTCCGTCAGACAGTCTGAGATTGGTGTAGCTACTGTGGGATCAATTTGAAATTAAAAGTAGAGCTGTGTGTCATTAGCGTTAATGTAAGTCTTCTGAATTGTATTACTGATGCTTTGTAGGTTTTTCTTATTTTGAACTGTTCTTTTTAAATAAAGAAACAGTGCCTTTTAAAATATTCTGGAGCTGATGCTTTGGTACAACATTCTTGCAGTGTCACAGTAAAAGCAAATGAACCTTGAACCCTTACTGCAGTGAATCAGGTTTTACATGTCAATTATTACGTATTTTTCACTTTGGAACAAAATAATACTGTAATCTACATATATTATTACTGTTAGTATGCCGTTAAAAAGAAAACTATGAAATTTTAAACAATTCTTGAGCTTGCATTTTTTTTTAATTCATAGCCAATGAATTCACATGTGATTCTTTTTTTTACCATCCTGTGGTTCTGACTGGAGTGTGGAAATGCTGCATATTAGTGTTCACATGGTGAGAACTACAGGTTTTGGTGGCATTAATGGTTTGTGAACGCTACCGAACAGGAACACATGGTGTCAAATGCTGAATAGAGTTGTGAAACACAAGAATAGCTTTAATAGTTCTGAGAAATATTTTAGAAAATGTGTTTTGTGTTTGTGACATTTGGCTTTAATAATGAATTTTAGTGTCTAAACTGAGAAAAACTGGAAGTCATTCTGCAAGAAGCACTAACAAAACAAGATCTGAAAACCACCAGGACGAGCTTCTCCTCACATTGCATGTGGTTTATTTGGCATGACGGCACCATTAACTAGAAATTCTTAGTAATGCGTCTAAATTAATGCAAACTGTTTATTCCTTCTCTTGTACTTCCTCTTTCACATCATTCTCTCTGTTAAATATTGATGTTTGTCTGATGTCGGCTATATCTTTCTACAAAATATTTATAAGAAAAAAAATCTAATAATGGTTACTTTCTTCAGATTTTGCAGATTGTGTCACTACACAGTCAACAGAGCGAAACATACAGTGACCACCCAGGTGAAAAAGAAATATATTTAAATTGTGCTTTTTCAGACATACTTACTATATTTAAATTATACTATAC